CTGGAGAGAGAGAGAGAGAGAGAGAGAGAGAGAGAGAGAGAGAGAGAGAGAGAGAGAGAGAGAGAGAGAGAGAGAGATTGGGCGGAGGCCAGGGAGACTTACCTGCAGCACCATAGCTACAGCTCGTCGTCGAGGTACCTGCAGCACAGCACCATCTTCACAGGTTAGTACCTGGCACATGAGAGAGAGAGAGAGAGTTCTTCTTCTTCCTCTTCTCAGTCCACCATCTCCCTCTCACCCTCTCGCTGCCTGACTTCACTGCATCAGCAGACTACGTCGTAAGTGTGTTTCGCAATTGTTATGCAATGGCATGAGACTCACCGCTCAACATGTACGGAGCCCTTAGGGCATCTGTGTGGGGGTTGCTTTTCCTTGAGTGAAAAACGCATGGCAGTTGCTGGTCAGGAATCAGCTGTCTGACTTGATTTCTGATCGATTGGGGATCAATCTCTTCTGCCCCTACTTCTCATATTTTGACTGTTTCTTCTTTCCCGTCTCCTCCCTCTCCTCCCTCTCCTCCCTCTCCTCCCTCTCCTCCCTCTCCTCTCTGTCCTCCCTTTCCTCCCTTTCCTCCCTTTCCTCCCTTTCCTCCCTCTCCTCCCTCCCCTCCCCTCCCCTCCCATTCCTCTCTCCCTTTTTTCGCTTTTGGCTGTCTTGGTGTTTGTGCCCTTTGATGATGTGTTGGCAGAAAGCAGATGTGAAGGCGGTTGTGGACGTGGACGAGAAGGTGCTGAAGCGCATGCTTCCAGAAATACCACTGTGGGTAAAGATGCCGGATTATGACAGGGTGGGTTCAGACTCTAGACTCTTCAGAGTTTTCCTATTATGACCACATGACGGGACAAGAACTTCAGAAAATGTTGAATGGAAGAAGAAACATGACAACCAATGAGAAGGGTAAAAGAGGAGAGATGCAATAAGAAGCGAATAACAAAAAGGCTGCTAATATGCTACTTGAACGACCAATATGTCTGGGGTTCTCTTGTCAAAGCAGCAGATTTGGTGATGGGCTTACAGATAGTATGGTCTGAATCTGTTTGCGGCTACTTGGCTATGTTACAAGATAACAGTCCTGACCTGGGGGCAGGTTTGGTGGTGCTGGGAAATCTGGGATGGAATGGACGTGCGAGACTTTTGCTGTACAGTTGGCGAAAACTACCTGGCTGGCTGCTTTCTTGACTTCGATATTTGGACTAATCTGCTGTGCAGCCTCCTGGAACCTCAGCAGGACATGTCCTTGCGTTCATGTCAGAGGTCATCCTGTGGCTGCTAAGAGTGGGTGAGTTGCATGGTAATCCCCCCTTCCCCTCCCTTGGGGTGGCATTGTGGGATCCTGGCATTTGAAGGCAGTATGGACCACCCAATGGGAAATAGCATTGTATGGGCTGTTACGCCCTGCGGGATTCCAGGTTGCCAGAGTGGACTCCAGGGTCCCAGCTATGTGATGTCAGCAGAACTGCATGGGATGATCTTGCTAATGGTTGCATACGTTGCCAGATCTTGAACCAGAATGCATGTCTGCAGCTCTGTCTCTGTCCATCTGTCTGTCTCTCTCTGCACATGTGCGTCTATGTGTGCACATCTGTCACTCTGTGTGTGCGCGCCGCGCCTGCGCGCACACGTTAGCTTGAAGCAGTTTCTGTAATATGACAAGTAGCAGCTGATGGACCTTGGAATTTGTTCATGTGTGTTGGAGTCGTCCGATTGCAACATTTTGCGTATCAAAATTCCGAGGGGGCAAGGTTCCACGGAATTGGAATTCCAGTTTCGGTTGTAAAAGTCCCAAATGGTAGAAATCATAGTTGCAGTGCACCCCTGTGGCGCATTGTGCTCTGCTCATGCAGCGCGCACACGTCATGTGGCGTACTGCTGAAATTCAGGGTCCCCCCACCAAAAGAAGGGGGTGGGGAGTGGTACGACCCCTCACCCCTTCACAAAGAAAAATGAGAAAGGCGGTGCAAAAGTTTCTTTTTGGGCCTGTGTGCATTCCGAGTGAAGTAGAGAGGGGTAATGGTCAGTTCACCGGATGGGCTGTTGTTTCTCGAATTTACGTGGGACTGTTCAGTTTGAAGAGGATGTCTATTTGAAGGCCGTCACCGTTTTTTTTGTGATGTGCACGTGCACCAGGGGAGTAGCACGAGCCCTGCACACTGAGCCTATGCGGGTGGTGCTGGGGGGTGCGTGTGCATCGCAGATCCGCGCACCGCACGGCACACCACAAATATGGTAGAAACTTCAGATGGTAAGACCGATGAGATTCTGAAGGAGAAGAAATTCCAGGGGATTTGCTTTGTGACGGCAAAAGTTTCAAATGGTAAAAAATCTCGAAGGTGAAAGTTCAGAAGGGTAAAATTCCAGAGGTGAAAAATGTGGAAGGGTTAAAAAATAAAATACACAAATTTGTAAAGGACAACTTCACGTGGTGGAAGTTAGGAACTCAAATAACTGAGGTTGAAAATTTCAGAGGGTATACCATTTGCGGGCGTTGCAGCTGAATGACATACACGGACTGCTGATGCCCAGATCATGGTTTCAAATCCTTACATATACAACAACATCAGGGGCTGAACCCCCTTCATTCAACCAAAAAAAAAAGGAATTTTATACCATTCATGATAGATGCAGGGGGAACGAACACCTTCATGATTTTTTCCCTTGGTGCAAGGGGGCAGGTGACTTGTACACTAGTTGACCTCGTCCTGACATCAGGCGAAACTTGACAAGTTTGGTGAGAGTTTGGTGAGAGTTTGGTGAGAGTTTGGATGGTGGTGAGTGGGAGCTGTTTAGCCCCTGAAGCACTTGGCACGGATCAGTCTGTGGGTAGCGTAAAGCCTGCCAGCCATTGGAAATTGAAAATTCTTTGCAGCAATAAGACTCAGTTCTGTGACACCTCTCCTCCCGTCTCCTCCCCGTCCCTCTGCCGCAAACTCCGCGCCCCCCCCCCCCCCCCCCCCCCCCCCCCCCCCCCCCCCCCCCCCCCCCCCCCCCCTGGCCTCTGCATCTCCGTCCTTTCGTTTTCGTTTCCCCTTTTGCCTGTGTTCCTTCTCCTCCTGCTCCTCCTTAGTGAGATCCTCCCTGGAGATTTTCTTCAGGAAGTCTTACGTTTTTATGTTGTGCATACTTTCTTTGTGTTTTTTTCTTTTCTTTGGGAACTTTGCGGGTGTTCTTGCAGGTTGATTGGTTAAACAAGTTTCTCAAAGAACTTTGGCCTTTCTTGGACAAGGTAAGGTAATTGAGTTTGGTATCTCATTGCTCTGTGTTTCAGGCCTTCCTCTCTGTGGCAGGCTTGGTTTGCCTCCTGCCCAATCCGGTCGCCTTCTACTGCTTGTTCTCCTCGTCCGCCTCTTGTTCTTCTTCTTCTTGTCCTTCTTCTTCTTCGTTTTTCCCTTCTTGTGCTTTGCTTATGTGATGGTTTGCTAACTTTGTTTCCTACCCAATTTGGTTACCTCCTCCTGCTCTGCCTGTTGACCCCTGTTCTTATTGTTGTTACGATCCTGGCCAAATTCGAAGTATACATTCATCTGAAAGTACAATGCCATCCAATTGCAAAAAGAAATGAATGAACTTGAGAGGAAAGAGAGGGAAAGAAGAAGGAGAAGAAGTGAGAAAGAAGAAGATGATGATGTACTCCAGCATAGACCAATGTCAAGGCTCTTCTTCTTTGCCAACCAATCCCTTCCTCCTTATCTCCTCCCTCTTATTCAAACAAGAAATAACAATAATAATGTTGAGTGACTGAACCAGAATCAATGTCCGAATCCCACTTCTACTGCAGGCACAACATGAGGTCCACCATAGCCATGGCCACCCTTCCTCTTCCTCTACATTCAGGCCGAGGCTATGGCGGACTATTGAGGCTTCAGCCTCCTTTCCAAAGGACAACCCAAAGCAGCTATGCCGCTGCCCCACTCCAAGGTCGTCACCATGCAGCTATGCCGCTGCCCACTCAGCCACCATGCCTGACTCTGTCCCGAGCTTCCTTGATGCGGCACTACCCCAACGGGGGCCTTCCTGATGCAGCGCCTAGCAAGGAGATGAAGATGGTGTCTACCATAGCCAGCTAAGTGCCTCGCCACTCTCCTCCTTGGTCCCCTTCTCCCTCCTTCTCCTACCGGTAGAGCTCCACCATAGCCAAGGTGGAAGCTCCCGGCTTCTTCCTCCCAGCAGCGCTGTAGTACCCAGCGCCACTCCAGCCAGCGCTTCAGCAGTGTGTCGCCAAACTTGCACACTGAAGAATGAGGCTGGGCTCTCCGCCCGGCCTCTTGATATAGCGGCCTACTTGCCTCCTGGGCGGTGACTTCCAGGCCGCTCGGCCTCCCCAAGCAACCGGTACTTCCTCCGTTTCGGAGGGAAACATCATTGCAGACCCTGATATTACCCGTACAGGCCCTAGACTCAGACTGGTTGGACTGGTACCGGCCTAGACCTACCCTACCRCTACTGGACTCTAAAAATGCCARCTTTGTCTTCTTCTGCTCGGCCTCCAGTACCCCCTTCGTGCCAACTGCAGTGGGGTGCGGTATCGGCCTACCTGCCCACTTGAGTGTTTTTCCGCTACTCCAAGGGGCCGCGGGGCCGCTAGCTTCGCCACTTGAGTRTTTCCCCTGCTGCAACCCTCAATGCCACGGCCACAGGTAAGTACCGGCCCTACGGGCCTGCCAAACGAGCAAGTACCCTTCYGGGTCACACACACACTCAGGCAGAYAAGCAYTCAGACAGGCACGCAAGTCCACAGGCACGCACRCACACAGACTTAGAAAACACAGCAGAATGCGGGAATCTCAACAAGGCATCCATTCCATCAGCAGAACTTCAGAAATCAGCAGTGTTCTCAGTCTGTGCTATGACGGGTCATTACATTGTTCTTGTGCTTGTTCTTCTTCTTCTTCATTTTCTTCTTCTTGTGATTTGCTTGTGTGGAAGGAGGTTGATGGAACGTAGGGAAGGGGCCACATACGGGATAGGGGGCACACTGCGGGGGTGGAAGGGGGGTGACATTCCCTTATTTCTTGGCCTAGGCATTTAAATGGGACACCTGTTGCCCCGCAGTTTCTTCCAAACCCGTATAATTTGTCCTCTTGCTTATCTTCTTGTGAATTGCGGACCTAATGTTGCATGCAGGCAGTGTGTAAGACTGTGAAAGAGATTGCGATACCAATCATAGAAGAAAAGAAGCCTCCTCAAATTCAATCTATCACGTTCGCTGAGCTAACTCTTGGGGATCTTCCTCCAATGCTCTCCGGTGAGTGTAACCTGTGCGTCTTAACTTCCTTCTCTGGTTCTCTGCTTATGGATGGGGCTGCTGCCTCTCTCCAGCTTTCTGTCTTCCTTTTTCCGCTACCGCCTTTCCCTCCAGTTTGACCCGTTACTCGTGTGCAGTAGTATTTATCTATCGATGTGTTGGACGGAACTTAACTTTGACTTAACTTTGATCCAAGTGTTTGCTCGGTACATATACAACTCCTTGAATCCCTCTGGATTCGCTCCCATGCCCATCATGCATTCGATCCCATCCCCCTTGAATTTGCTCCCATGCCCATCTTCGAGTTGCTCCCATGACCCTGGACTTGCTCCCATGCCCTTAGATTGGTTTCCATGCCCATCATGCATGTGCTCCCAAGCCAGGTCCATTGATGTGCAGTATGTGGGAACAAAGAAAATGCATGTAGAAAAGGGAAAAGGTAGGGAATGTAGGATAGGATGAGATGATGTCCGTGCCCCTGGAACATTGTTTCTTGTCCTGCTGCATTCTTGGGGCTTGCACTCCAACCGTATTTTCACAAGTTTTGTGCAGTTTGTGCTGGGGAAAAAAGTGGTTTGCAGCACCGTCAGTCACACAGGTAGCAAGAATTGGACATTACAATTTCGTGACGAGCTGTCGTTTGGCACTTTGCGCGTTGCGCGGTCAGATAGCGAGTGAGCAAGGCGCTAATCCTTCGTACAATCTGCTCACGTTTCCCCTTTGAAATTCAAGGAAAAGAAAGGAAGTTGGATTTGCAGGGGGGAAACTACTTTTTGGGTGCGGAGGTCGTGGTTTTGACTATCGTCTTTCCCCGAACATAACAACCTGGATTCTGAACGTATACGAGCCATCTTTCCAGTCCAATGCAGTCACAATCAGGGTGCATTGTGTTGGCGGGAAGATGGTGGACAGAGACGCAAGTTTTGTGTTTTCATGGTTCACTGAACTTCATTCTCTTGGCGGTCCAGGAGTACTTCTTTGTGTTCTGGTTCATTTCTCTCTGCTCTTGTTTGCATTGTCGTTTGCTGCCTCCGTACATGATTGGTTATGCTCAGGACTCGGATCGAATGGGGCATGCTTTCGAGTGCGATGTAGCTTTCATTGAACGGGTTTGTTGCAATTTGGTATTGGGAGCATCTCTTATGGTTGTTTCCCATAGAGACTACCTTCTTCCCCTGAACTTGACGCCCAGTCGTCATAGCTGTTGTCAGTGCGAAACTCTCACACCAGATGCTGGTATAATGACTGGGCATTATGTTTTGGGGAAGAAGGTAGCGTTGAGTACACTCGGGCTTGGGCTGGCGAGTATGCAGTCGAGTGATGCGTTGACCCATGGCCCCTGCGCAAGGATGTCACATGTTTTTGAATGTGAATGAAATTCAATAAATATACAATGGATAATCTGCAGGAAACCAACATATGTCTGTGCAGGATCCTCAGAGACTACACGTGAAGAGTCGGAACAAAGAACAGAGTCAATTCACATTCTGTACTATGATATCAATCAGCACTGATCATTTGCAGTTACAATGGTTAGCAGGATTGATTCTGTGACGCAGAATCCGAAGAGTGGAGATCAAGCTCAGCGACCTTTCAATGCTGGTCCTGGCCAAGTTCATGTTACTGTAATGTGATTAAGCTTCTGTCAAATGGGTTCACTGCACTGTAGTCTTTTACTATTTTGTCTGCTGTTTGTTGTAACATGCCCTGCACCGCTGGGTGCTTAGGTGAACATACTTTTTTCATAGTTGCGGCGCCCGAGTGTGCAGTGCGGTGCGGGGCTGTGCGCACTGCGCTGTGCGCTGGAATGACAGCGTGCGCACTGTGCGGTCCGCTGTGCACGGTGCACTATGTGCGCGATAAAAAAAAAAAAGACAGGCCCCAAGAGAGAGAGAGAGAGAGAGAGAGAGAGAGAGAGAGAGAGAACAAAGGGTCCCCTTCATGTCAATTCGTAGGCCCCTGCAGGTTCCTCGAATGGCTCCTACAATACATGTGTAGCCATCGAGGGCCGCTGCTTCAATGAGAAGGATGGCCTCGTCATGTGTGGAAGAGATGGGGGCAGGCCACCAATATATGCTGTGGATTTGAGTTCAGGGCTGTAGCTCGGCAGTTATGGGTCACCAATTCAGCTAGACCCTGTTCGTGTCTCCACGTGATTCTCAGGGCCTCCTTCCACCACTCACCAAATGTATATAATATTAGTAGAACGAATCTTCTGCTAAAACATGGAACCATACACCGCCATATGCTATGTCTTTTGTGCATTTGGTGAGTAGTGGAGCAGGCCCCACTGGACATATTCGTAAGAAAACAAAAACACAAAAACGAGAGAGCCACAGGCATTTTCATCCTAACCCATAACTGCCGACATGCAGACCTGAACGCCAATCTTCAGCATATATTGGTGGCCGGCTGGCCATGGAAAACGCAACTTGTGACATTTGCAAAGCTTCGTGGGGCAGGTCGTTATTAGGCGACTACCCCTTCTTGCGAACTTACGTCACCACTGTGTGGGATTTGCAGAAGGGAGCGGGAAGGACAGATTCCATACCCGGCCTAAAAAAAAAGATGGAATGAGCCCTATTTTTAAAGTATTGTATGCTTCGCCACTCTGAAACTTTTGGGGGGAGGGCCTGTGGAAATTGAAATTTGGCAGCCCTTACCCAAAAGAAAAATTCGGGCTGGGGGTGTGGCTGGTTTCCGCGCAGTGAGTTTAACATTTTTGCCGAGTTGGGGGCCCTAAGAAATTACGAAACCCCTACTTTTTTTTTTTTTTTTTTTGGACGTAATTTTTCCAGTGCGCTGCGAGCGGTGCGCGATTTGTGCGCAAATCTGCGCACTGAGGTGCGCCGCAACTACGACTTTTTTGGTACTTTTTTGTGATCGCTGCTGTGAATTGTGATCAAGTGTGTTTGAGCATGAATATTGTATTGTGGAAAAACCAACAAACCGATTCAAGCAAGTTTTTTGTACTTCTCACATTGGATTCCCTTTTTCCTTGTTTTTTGGCTCTCTTTTTAGTTGCGGGTTTTGTTTTCCCCCCTTTCTATTCGTGTGTCTTTTCCCCCCCCCCCCCCCCCCCCCCCACCCTCCCTCCCCCTCTTGCTCTCCAGAATAAGGGCTCGAGCAACAATTTGCTTTTCTCTTTTTCCTCGTTTCACGTCCCATCAGCCCTGCCTCCCGTCGCTTCCCCACGCCACTCTCACCCCGAACCCCCTCAGTTCCATTTGTTTGTTGGGGATCCCTTGGGGCGTCGTTTTCAAGCCCGAAGTGTGAAGTGCCGAGTTCAAGCCCTGGCTCCACTGGGACTTCAATTCAGCTGTTTGTTCCATTTTGAGTCGCAAGTCCCAAGCTCAAGCTCGAGCTCCAGCTCCCTTGGGACTTGGTTGTTTCCCTTGTGGGTCCCTTTCAGATCCCAAACCTCTTTCTTTGGGACTTGGGGTTGAACAGAGTGCCTCTTTAGGTTTTGTTATTGCTTGGGTTTGCTTTTTCTTTCATTTGCTACTGCTATGAACCAACTTGGTTAATGATAATGACCTTGTGGAGTTGTGAGCCTATGATGAAATTCTGCCATTGCTGGTTTTTGTTGTGGTGGCAGGAGTGAAGGTCTATGACACTGTGGATAAGGAAATGATCATTGAACCTTTCATTAAATGGGCTGGGAATCCCAACATTGTCATTGCGGTGAAGGGCTACGGAGTTACGGCAACCGTTCAAGTAAGGCTTAATGAAATTAACAAATTAATAAATTAATAAATTAATAAATTAATAAATTAATAAATTAATAAATTAATAAATTATGATACTATGGTGACTGTCGTTTGAGTTAGTCAAAGTCCTCCAGGCGCTCTATGATGCCCAAAGCAGCATCATCCTTTCTGTGAACGCTGCTGGAGCCAGAGGTCCCATTCATTAGCCATGGGTTAGGCTGCCGTCTTCACCCGAAAACATTGCCGAGGCGTTGTATACAGTATAATAATGCCCAGCGAGTGTTATATTTGCTAATAATGCCTGGGCGGTGTATTCAGTAAATTGGTGGCAACTTCAGTTAGTGGCCCCCCGAATCCACCGAAACAAAAATCATTGAAAACTGAAAAAAGCAATGTAAGCAACTTTTGGCTGATGATACTTTCAGAACTGCTTATTAATATCTGAAGGAAAAAACAAAACAAGTAGAAAAATGATCAAAATCAAACCTGTGGTGGGTGTGGATGATTTTATGAATATTCACGACACCTTTGCTGGGCTTGCCCAAGATAAAAAAAATGGTGGAGATGCTGGCTCTTCCATTGGAAGGAAATCACAGGATGGAATGATGACAATGATCTGAAAGTGGTAAGATGGGTACTGTCACGAATTCTGCCAGATGGACTGTTGTACACAGAAGTTTGGGGTTAAGTTAGATGGGAAGAGCAGCCCTGATGTGGGTAAAATGGAAGGAAAGAAATGCACACCATTTTGAAGTTTCAAACCCCTTTATGGATACCCCCCCCCCCAATGCAATCTACCCATGCCACACTCAAGTATAACACCCAGGCGCTCTGTTTGAATGTAACGCTTGGGCAATGACAGTGGAACACCTACCATTATTAATGCGAGCTGCTCCCCGACCCGGAGCATCCCAAAGGTTATCATTGACCCGTGGGGTGTCTTCTCGTTGGTCATCGGTGGGGGAAGGGGTGACACGACGAACACGACTGTTGTGCGGGGTGTACACATATAAGTAGTAGTATCTGATGCAGAGTGCTTGTGGTCTGGTGTTTTTCGCGCCGAAGGAAGGCGTCCTTTGTTGGTTTTCCTGACTGCTTGGGGTAAGTTGAATATAATGCCTGGGCACTATTTTTTTTTGGTGAACATGGTAGGTCTAGTTGGTGTGTGACAGGTGTAGGACAGGTGTAGGACAGGTGTGGGACGGCCGCACGTGGTATTTCTGACCTCGTAGATGAAATGACAGTAAAAAAGTAGTGTTGTTATCCAGCCATTGGATTATCCGCCGAGTTGCTTTGGCTGATTTTGATTTTGATTCTCCGCATGACGCCGTTTGCAAAGAAAATATACACCCAGCAATGGTAATGATGATGTTTCGAACAGTGTCCTACGTCTTTGTGGTGAAGCACACTAGTATCCCATGCGAGCCAGTCAGCCTATTCCTGGATCTTGTCTCAGATTGCGAAACCGTTAGCGCCCACCTAGACCCAGTCTACATATCCACCTGGACTGCAGAAAGTCCAGATATCTTTCTCTTTCTCTTCTTTTTTTTTTGCGGTAACTTCGGCGCAGTCACGAAAACAGTTTGTAATTGCACTTCAGGCAATCCCGCGAATACAACACACCCCCACGCGATCCCACTGGACCCGAAATGTAGGTCATATACATTCAGCATTACCGGCCCTTTTGCCTCAAGTGCAATTACAAACTCAAACCCTGACTGCGCCGTAGTTTTTTTTTTTTTTTTTTGGGGGGGGGGGGGGGGGGGGGGGGGGTGCATTTCTTCATTTATGCATGTCGTCCCTGTGCGGGGCCATGCTAATCTTTTGTGTTTCGTTCCAATTTATGTCTCGAAGGACAGAAAGTCCAGATATCTAGCCCAAAGGCTATGTCATAGTTTGGGGGCAACATAGTTTTGCACCAGTGTTACCAGTGTTAATTACCAGTTGTTCCCAGCCTCGTTTTCCTGACACTGTTTTTTGCCCAGCTCTAAGAAGTCTGAACCGTCGTGGCACGTGATCTTCCTGGTGCTGGCGTTGTGACGGGCACTCCGAGCCTTTCAGTGGGGCCATGTTAACTGGCAGCAGTTTTTTCAAAGGCAGGGACAACCAGTGGTGGTATAAGGAACGCCGAGGAAGGGGGGAGAAGCTTGGGGGGGGGGGGGGGGGGGGGGGGAGGGGGGGGGGGGGGGGGGGGGGGGCGGGGGCGGGGGGGGGGGGGGGGGGGGGGGGGGGGGGGGGGGGGGGGGTGGAGGGGGGGGGGTACTAAGGTTTCCGTTTTACTTGTCCTAATTCCTGAAAAGTCTGTCGGTCGGATGACCCCAAGCATCCATGGATACAATGGAGGTCGCACACCAATACAAAACACGATGCACTCTCATCTTGACTGTAGCGGACCAGAAAGATAGCTGGTATACATTCATGATCTGCATGCATTGTGTTCAGGGGAAGATGGTAGGCTAACCTGCGGCTAATGGGAGCGCCCCTGGAGGCCGGAAATGGAAAGAATTCCTCTCTCTTGTCTTTCTTGACCTCTGGTGCTTTTGGAAAAACAAAAACTGACACCCAATCCATGTGGCTGAACGATATGTAGATGTAACTGTTGGTGAGCATATCACGAGTTCGTGTCCTGGTGGAATCAGATGGGTACCTCAGGGGCCACTCCCTTTTTTGAAGTTTTGTTTGTCAATTTTTTTTGTGTTTAGTGTATAAGGGAAGACAGTACTGGGCAAATTGTGACTGGTAGTCACGTGGTATTTTTGCTAGTTTCTGGTGGAAATAAAAACATGCAGTAAAAAATTACTAAAAATCAAACATAAAAAATAGAAAACAAAAATAAATCAAATCATGTTGTTCGGTGGCAAGTCATCGGAATGCCACTCCTTGTCTTGGACAGGGAGGCGGTCATGAAAAGAGAGGGCTTTCTTACTCGTTTTTGTGAGGGAGTTCTGTTGGATGGTTAAGATGACCAACCTCTGCATGTGATAATCTGAACGTTCTTCGTGTCTTCCTCGGAGCCGAGGATGCGGGGGATGGGGTGAGGGGGCGGGGCTGGGGATGTGCCGCCCCATGGCGCTTCCCGAATCGCGAACCTCCCTCCCCACTGACCGCTATGTGGCCGCGCGGACACGTCCACGGGGTCGCGGCCTAGGTCCTGTCTCTTATACACATCTAGATGTGTATAAGAGACAGTCTTGATGCATTACACTGATGATCATCAGTTCAGTGTGTGTGTGCGTGTGTGCGTGTGTGTGTGTGTGTGTGTGCATGTGTGCGTGTGCGTGTGTGTGTGTGTGTGTGTGTTGTCATGTTCGCTGTCCACAACTCCACGAAAGAATAAATGATGACTATGCCGTACTGTTTCGTCGGAATTTCACGGACTCATCGGGAGGATGAACCCTGACAATCTGCTTGCGATGCAGTTGATTGATGGACATTGGATAACAACTCACCACATTGCCCAGAGCTAGCAGTACCCCTGAGAAAAGTGGTTGACTTTACTCACACCAACACTGCAATCCTAGCAGACTGTGGGTCGAAACCTGTGTGTGTGTGTGTGTGTGTGTGTGTGTGTGTGTGTTTTAAACTTTCACCACAACAGCCCGTCACCCAACTTTCACCACAACTTTCAGCTCATTTTTCGCCACAACTTTCACCACAACTTTCACCACAACGTTCACCACATCTTTCACCACATCTTTCACCACAACTTTCACCGAGGGTGGATCCAAAATTAAAACAGGCTTACCGTAAAATCTTCCATCAAGTTGTGAATGGTTCGGTCACCCGGCAGTTACAAGTTCAGGTTTGTCCGAACTGCATACTGCTTGGGAAAATAGAACATAGCAAACATGTGGGGCAGGTGTTGTAATTTGACTTGAAATCGTAGTTTAAAAGACTGAGTTTTATTTTGTCAACAAGTAGATCGACAAGTAGATGCAACCACTTGTCTGTACTAGATTGCAGATTATTGTGAGACAGCAAAGAAAAAATTGTAGTAGATTGCAGATTATTGTGAGACAGCAAAGAAAAACGTAGTGGAAATTGACTGCAGTCTGCAGCTGAGTATGTGTGGTGGAATGGTACAGACATATGTATCTACTGTTTATGAACAGATCACGAGTTTCGAGTTTCAACCGTGACAAAGCCTTCGTGGGAGCTGATTGCAGCTGTGAGGCAGGTCACACACCTTTTATCTTGATATGTCAGTCGATTGACTGCATTCCAAACAGTGTGTTTACTGTTCTGACGATGTTCTCGGTTGTTTTCGTGTTCGTGGTTTTTGTAGTTGACAGAGGTGACTGTTTGCATGCAAGTCCGGGCAACATTCAAGCCGCTGGTGGATGTGTTCCCTTGCTTTAGCAAAATCTATGTGTCCCTTATGCAAAAGGTAAGAGAGGGAAGGGGATCGGCTCCTGTGGCATATGTTTCTGAGATCTGGCTATGTGAAATGTGCTATTGGAGAATGCTTAAAGCATCTAAGATTGGCATGTGCTATTAGCGTCTCCCTGGCTGTTGGAGTGTGCTATTGGTGTGGCTATGGAGTCCAGTATTGGTTTCAAATGTGCTATTGGGATCGGGCCATTGGAATGTGCTAATGGTGTGGCTATGGAGTCGGTAATATTGTCATGCAGAAAATGTGCGATTGGAGTGTGCTATTAGCATTTGGTCATTGCGATGCGCCATTGGCATCTGGATATCCGACTGTGGTATTGGTGGGGCTGTGGAGAGTCGTACTATGGGCAAAGCTGCTGAATCTGTCTGCTATTGTCGTGGCTGTCGCTGCTGGTATTGGTGTGATTGAGTACTGAGAGGAAGTTCAGGTGGGCTATTCTTTCTGGTGCTAAATGCTGCATGGCTGTGGTGTATGTGGAACCTAACAATTTGTTGATTATGATGATTACTGATGGGGTGTGGATGGTAGGCAAGCAAATCAGTTTGCTGTCTGAGAGGTTGCATGTGGAACCTAAGAATATGTTGATGTTATAGGCTGACTGATTGATGGATGGATTTGAAGGGTGGGGGAAGGGAGGGAGGGAGGGAGGGAGGGAGGGAGGGAGGGAGGGAGGGACGGACGGACAGAGACCGAGGGAGGAAGAGATGGACAGAAGGAGGGAGGAAGGGATGGGATGGGGGACAGAAGGACAGGGACGGAGCCGCAGAGGGAGGGACACTAACGGAGAGAGGGATGGAAGGGAGGGAGGAAGGGTCAAGGGAGGGAGGGTTGGAGGGTAGGAAGGGGGGGTATGGAGCGGAGGGGGGTTGAATGGGGGGAGAGCCAGGAGGAGGGAGAGATGGTGGGAGGTGAGAGGAGGGAGGGTTGGAGGGTGGGATGGTTGGAAGAGGGGGTGTGAACTCTGTGGAGGGGGTTACGGTTGGAGGGGGAAGGGAAGGAGGTGGGAAGGGAGGGAGTGAGAGAGGGAGGGACATAGGGATGAATGGACGGAGGGAGGAAGGAGAGGGAGGGTTGGAGAGGAGGCAGGGAGGGAGGGAGGGCCAGTCGGGCAGTGGGATGGATGCATGGATTCATTAGTGAATCAGGACCACACAGATTTTGGCAAGGATGGATGGGTTGGGGGGGAAGGGAGGGAAAATGATGGGGCAGAAGGGAACGAGATGAAGTGGGACGGGATGGGATAGGAGGGAAGGAGATGGGGTGGGAGGGAACGAGATGAAGTGTGATGGGATGTCATGCATGGAATGGGTTGGGTGGAGTTGCAGCGAACAGGATGGATGGAATGGGACGAAATGGAACGGGATGGAATAGAATGGGATGGAATAGACTGGGACAGACGGAATGAAATGGGATGGAATGGGATGGAATGATGGAATGGAGTGGACGGGATAGAATGCTGTGAATAGCTGGACGGACGGAGGGATGGAGGGACGTATGGACGGGCCGAGGGATGGATGGATGGATGAGTGGATGGATGGAAGGATGGAAAGATGGAAGGATGGATGGATAAGTCGATCAATTTATCGATCAATGCCTCGATTGATTATTGATTGATTGATTGTGTTGATCAATGTATTGATCAATGCCTCGATTGATTGATTGATTGATTGGTTGATTGTTTGATTGATTGATTGATTGTTTGATTGGTTGGTTGGTCGGTTGGTTGGTTGCTGGATCCATGCCTCTCTTCATGATTTTGTTTACCGTCTCCCCTTGCACTGAATGTGAAACAGCCAGAGATAGACTTTTCCCTGAAGCTACTGGGAGGTGATGCAATGGCGATCCCAGGGTTGGCGGCCTATGTTCAGGTGCGTTCACAGCCGGGCTAATGTCCCCTCTCTTGAGGGTGCTGATCGTCCTGAATTGCCTTCTCTTGATGTGTGAAATCTTTTGGCGATACTCGGCTTGGGATGGGATAATCTTCTTTCTGTGAACGCTTCCGATCTTCCGGAGGAGATGGAACAGATGTGTTGTTCTTGTGCACCATTCTCTGTTTCTAATAATAGCACAACATGGACTCTGGAGCGTAAAGCTTCACGGACTCAGAGTGAAAACAGACGACAGGCAATTGTCGGGGGGGGGGGGGGGGGGGGGGGGGGGGGGCGCAAACAATGTGATCCTGATCGTGGGGGGAGGCGTAGTTTGTGCTAGCGATATTCCCTCACTTGTCCTTTTCCGGCATCTCATGAATTCCCAGTTTGCCGAATGTCCAGAGTGCAGAATTGATTATACTGGCTCTTGTTAGAGCCTTCCATAATTAACTTCAGGTAACCTAATGGTCGCCCACATAACATTGCAAGTTGACGCTCTTGTAAGCATGGCTCACCAGCAGAGCAAAGTGGACGGGAATTGTTTGTGAAGAAAGACTGATAAACGAATGAACGGGCCTAGCTCAGTTGGTACACCCATGAACTGCTAAGATACAGACCCAAGTTTGAATCCAGCTGCGATCAGATGACCAGAATAACATAATTCTGAACTAAGTACTAGGGGCAGTCATCTCAATGATGGAAAAAAGAAAGAAGAAGAAATGGGATAAAAAACCCAACAAAAAGCTAAAGCAGCAGCTGCATGAGCATTTGACAACTAACTCAGAGTGAAAACAGGGGGGCAGGGGGAAGGCATGGGGAAGACAGAACTCTCTTGAAGTACGTGATACAAAGGTATTGGGAGTGAAGAATGGGATTGTAATCACAGCTATCAATGAGTTTTCCTTCTGTTGTACACCCATCAATCTGTTCTTTTTCGTAAACATATGTGTTTCAAAGTAGCCTGCACCCCAAGGGCTGCCGTCTGGACACAGTATGACTACCCTCTGGTGCGCTGAGGCAAGTGGGGGCAGCACTGCACGATTGGGACATCTTCGGAAAAGAATGCAGTGTGTCTGATGGAGTGTTGTGAAGTGGATGCTTAGTGCAGGGGAGAATGGAAGGAAATGAATCTGCTAGGCATGCAGTTGTCCATGGATGTGTAAACACGATGAAGCGCGGATGTTCAGAGTACTCATGTGGGCCTACTTTTTCTTCTCTTCAGTTTTAGAGATTTTTTTCGTCTGTTCTTTTTTGTTTCTCTTATCCATTTATGTGGGCTCTTTTTTTTTTCGCCAGGAAGTAATCAAGGACATTGTTGCAGATATGTTGTTATGGCCAAAATCCATGCAAGTCTTCGACCTTAATATGTACGGACTCTCACTCTACTGTGAACCCTGCTCCTTCCCCTCCCCCCCCTGGCGATACCCACCCACCCTGTCTCCCTCTCTTTGATGGTTGCCTATCTTGACAACTCGTCTCCAGGAAGTGTGTATGCCTGTGCTTGATCATACACATCACCATTTATAGCACAATGCTGTTCCTTGTGGAAAAAGGCAATCTGTCGTCCAACCTTTTGATTGTATTTTTCGTTTCAGCTTTGAAGACATCTTTCCAAACATATAGCACTATTTTTTTTTTCTTTAGTATTCCCGATGGACCGCGAATCAGATATTAAACTGATCAGAACAGATACTCCACTTGATCTTTCGATTCGGGATAGTGATCTCTGGTAATCAGATAATCCCTAATATTATAAAATAGGTCAAGAATCAAGACTTCTTTTTTTGTTTTGTTTATGAAGTTCTTAAAAATGCCGTTCGCCGTCTTTCAGGACATCCGTTAAAGCACAAGTACACCATACATCGCCCCACGGGTGTCAGCATGAAACCCGCACCACTTCGGAGCCTGCCGATTTTTTTTCTCAACGGCGCCCCGTGCCGGCCGGCCCCGCCGAGTTTTGCTTGTGGCGACAAAAACTTTCTGCAAGGCTGGGGCCGTGTACTTGCGGTTTAAAATTGGAACTGTACAGAGAGGATTAGCATGGCCCCTGCGCAAGGATGACATGCATAAAATCGAGAAATGGTCCAAATTATGAAAATAAAAGTAGTTCACCTCATCACTGAACTTGCGAGGAACATCACGAAAAGTTTCTCAGACATCAGCTCTTCGTTTATTTCAGGGCTGTGTTGGCAACCGCCGGTTGGTCTGGACCAGTCCCAATCGGGCCGGTTGGACCCCCGGTCTGGTTGGGCCCAAAAGTGGGTCAATTTTTTTATTTTTTTTTTTGGGCGCTCGCTGGGATCTCCCCGAATCCGGTTAGAAAACTCGAACACAGAAGTCTTGTTTTTGGGTGGGGGGGGTATTTCAGGGGTTGGGGGTCGGGGGTTAGGGGGGTTGTGGTGGTGTGGTTTCAGCAAGCACGGGCTTCTGCAACAACGTATCTGGCTTTCTGCAAACGTTGGCAGACTCGTACCTGCAGAAGAAGAAGAAGAAGAAAATATTGAAAGAAGTTCTGAACTTGTTTCCAGATCATCATTTTGTGTCACAAAATCTAGAACGTCTCTCTCTCTCTCTCTCTCTCTCTCTCTCTCTCTCTCTCTCTCT